AAAAAAAAAAGAAAAAAAAACCTGACATCAGCACTTTACAGCCACTGGACAGAGCATGAAGATAGAGCTGGGCAGCAGTGAAGACTGACCAATTGTACGTGCTATACCCAAAAAGTTTCATTCAGCTACAACTCTAAATGCTAAATATTGTTAATGTTAGTTTTGCTGCTTTTCTTTTTTTTAAGAATTGTGATGTGAACTTAATAAGTAAAATTAAGTCAATACAATAAATACAGGGATAGATACTAATAATTTTAAGCATTGGCCCCTAAATTTGGTGGCCAAAGTACAGTTTTGGTGGCCCAAATGTAAACCTATGTAAAAACCAAGTCAAGGCTAGTTGAGGAAACTGGTGGCACACACCACAGTATATTACATTCTTAGATGTGTCAGATTCTAGTAGGGACGTCACACAAGAACTGATACTTCTGTACCAAAATTCTGTAAACTTGATGATATTCATTTTTCTAAAGCACCAAAGGTAACAGGCATGCAATCCTTCTGGACCTGACGGGGCAGCATTTACGCCGACAAATATTCTGGTCTGCCATTAAATGCCCTAGGAAAAAGAACACGGTAAAGACGGTGACAAGTACAGCTGTTACTTTTGTGAACAATGCTCCCTCGTTAATGCTTTCCGCTGTCCTGTAACAGTGCATCTGCAACTACTTGTCAAACATAAAAAAGTTTCCTAGTGGCTGCCAGGTAAATGAGAGTAGAAAGTGCAGTTTTCTGCATCCTAAAAGCACTAAAAAATAAACAAAGAAGCACATGGTGGCTTGTGTGTGCATGTGTAGGTCACAGATATATGTTAAAACAACTTTCATTATTAATACAGAAACAGAATTCTAAAACACTTTCACAGACATTATTCCCCTGTGACAACTGCTGCTGTAATTGTCTACCCAACTTGTAATAAGTCCTGGATAAACGCCAGAACACACAGAGGCAACAGACACATATTCAGTTAGAAAGTAGTAGTAGAAGAGTAGTAGAGTAGTAGAAGATTATTAAGCGAGTAAGTATACATATTAAGTATGTATCACGTTAATGTTATTCATGATCCATCGTATCAATACATCTGTGAGTATTTGTTTTTGTAAAGTTGAAGTTATTTAGTCCGTGTTTTAAACAACGAGACCGTGTGATGTTATACTGTGTTGAAATACATGTTCAGTCTCCTTGCTGGTTGTTCTGACACATACAGATTACCACTTTTACAATTCAATTACATTTTATTTTTATCAGACAAGTCTGCTCAAGTTAGACAGGGATGAAAACCACTATGCATAGAAGCACATTTGTCTGAAACAGAGTGAAATCAAACAGTTTAGCCTAGGGGTCAAATGCTTTAACTGCCCTCATTCAACACTTTATCAAGCCTGTGTCAACAATGTATAAGTAGCAGAGGTAGTATAGGATAGTGAAAAGTAATGGTATTTTTAACTGCACCGTTAATGAGGAGGGAACGAATGAATGGAATGAATCTACGGAAGGAGGTTGGTTTTACTTTTACTGTTCAACAAGACACTGACTGAGAGATATGTCTGTCAGCATGCACACACATGTACTATACATACACGTACTGTACATACACATACACAGAAAGTAATAAAAGCAGAGAGAAAGGAAGGCTGGTCTCTGGAATGAATTCTTAGAGCCAACTTTGTCATGAACTCAAGTAACCTCTGGCAATAGTCACATAAAAGCAGCCACAGGCCTGTTTCAGCTGTAGTGTAGCTACTATCTTCAAATAATGAACGCTGATGGTTCATCATACCGCTAAAATGGATCTAGTACTATATGTATTATAAATCAGACATGTTTGTGCATGGTTTGTCAGTGGATGAATAATGAGGTTATCTACAGGCATTTAAGGAGCACGCAGAAGCGCTACGCCTAAAGGGAGGTGGTAAGTTTGTCAAAACCCGTGTGGTAAAGTGTATGGAGCTCAGAAGTAGTAGCGATGCAGGAAGAAACAAAGTGTGAGTACAGAGGATGTAGTGTGTAGCGCGCGAGAGTTGCTGTAAGTTAGCTGACAGAGTGTATTGTGTGTCAAGACGAAATCGGTGATTGGTGAAGCGTCTTCTGTTGGATCGACAAATTGTATCAGCCTTTCCATATTTTAAATAATGTGGTCCGTTGCGTTTGCTGTGCTGCCCCCTACAGAGAGCGTCTGCCCCGCGCGCGCGCTCCGAGAAGAGCAATTCGCCTGAAAGTGAACCAGGCCAGCCAACCCAAGCCAACGCCCTGCCAAGTTTATCTTAGCCAGAGTACTTTTGATGATGTTCAGTGTTGTGTCAGAATGTTGTGTGAACTTAGTCTGCCGTGTCAGGTTATGTTCGTTTCATTTAGTGCTCGCTATATGAGGTTTAGAAAGATGTTGTGCGCCCGGTGTTAAAATGTATATCACGAGCAGATGATATTTTGAGAGGTTTCTCCTTTGCAGCAGATGGTGAGATCTAAGATATCGAAAATTGCGATCTGGACCTGTTGGTATGCGGTAATCTCGAAACCGATGGCATAAGTTTCTTGGGTATCAGTGACAACACTGAATCGCGCGCCAGCGTGTGCAGACTCGGTTATGGGCTTGGTGACGTTGTGCAGGACCCAGCTGAATCTGGACTTCAGCAGCGGTGGTCTCCGTTTGTGTCCAGCTCTGCTGTACGGAAACAGCTTACAAGTGTCTGTCTGGCCGACTGGAAAAAGAGTGGCGCCGGGTGTGAGCGCCGCTTGTCCATGTGCGAGTGCCATGTGCCGTGCAGAAATCATAAAAGACTCTGTATACACAAATCGTGTTATGCGCGCGAGAAATCTTGGACTCA